GTGTGAAAACTGTTCAGGTCAGAAGTGCAAGCCATGAAAAAAACCAAGCTCTCAGTAGTATTAACATGCATGGCAGATGGAAGAAAGTTAAAGCCCTTGGTAATTTTCAAGAGGAAACTAACCCTAAGATAAAATTCCTGCGCGGCACATTTGTACATTTTCATGAAAAAGGGTGAATTGATGAGAATGAATAAAATTGTGGATGGTAAATGTGTGGCAGAAGCAATCAGGTGCTCTAACAATGTCAACACAGGCTGTTTGTTTGTCTGGGATGTGTTTCACAATGACATAGCTGAGAATATTAAAAATCCTTTAGCACAGAGCAGTACTAAGATTGCTGTTAAGCCATGTGCTTTAGATGTCTCTCTGAATAAACCATTTAAAGATCACATGCATTAACAGTGGAATAACTGGATAATAAGTGGCAAAAAGTTGTGTATGAAAGATGGAGTTATGCATTCTGCATCATTTGATGTGTGTGCTATGTGATTTCATGATCAAATCCTTCAAAAATTGTGGGATTCCTAATGCTGTGGATGGCACTGAGGACAATTTGTTATGGGATACTTATGGCAAAATGTAACTTGTGTTGCTAGATACAGGATGGAACACGTTATGACAAGCTTCTCAGCAATGAAAGTGAGGAAATATTTGAGTTTGCTTTAGATGATGAATGTAGGGATTTTGCATGATGTTAAATATATTGGTGAGTAATGTGTTTTATAATGTTTTAATTTAATCTAATTTTTTTGTATCTGTCCTATATGATGACCCTGGTTTTTTGGGGCCTTTTTTGTATGATTAGGGAAATATATGGCAATATTATATGATTAGGTGAAATATGTTCGCCCTTTTTCTTGAAAATGTACAAATGTGCCAAGGGAAATATATGGCAAGTGCATGTGGATGGCACTAAATGTCAACTATGTGCATAGTTATGATGCAACAATGTTTGAGAAACACTGATGCGTAATAACAAATATTCTCATTCATTTTATTAGTTTTAATGTGTGAATTATATTTTCAAAGTAGAAGCAAATAATCTGTGTTTGAAATCCAACATTTCATTTATAGGATAATAACTTTCTCCCTGTATTTTCTGTGGGCTTAAATTATCCAGGATAAAAGCTAAATCATGATGAAATAACTATATAAAGTAAATACAGTACAAAGTCCAAAATCCGGACATCCATTATCTGGAAATGATCAAAAATCCGGATCTGAAAACCATCAACAATGGTTTTTCTTGTAGGCTTTATGCAGCACATTTGATTTCCCCCCTCAGCGCATAATAAAACATCTAGAGAGTCCCGATTCTTAATTTCACTTCGAAACTAAATAAAATACCTTTTTATTGAAGAAACAATCATTTTAGCATAAATTTGTATGATCAGTAATTTGGCTCCGTTGCTGTGTATCTGCTTGGCATGCATCTCAAACTGAAACATTTCACATAGGTACGTCGTTGATTTGATGTCAACCTGGCGAATCATGATTTATTATACTTTCCTTTCATCACCACATGTTTATCAAAACATGTCAACTTGAGTAATGACTCATGTACCAAATGCCTAGACAATTTTTTTGTTAGTAATTGAACAATAAAGGTGTATGGTAACCCTTTATGTTGAAAATTATGCTTGGCGATGATTACAGATTTAAGTTAAATGTGCTAAAAAATGTTGACGAGAAAAAATTTTGTTCCATATGCTAAAAATAGATTTTGTTGATGATACTCATAGATCCAAAGATTACATTTAGGGCTATTTGAATTAAGAATAACTGATTTGTTATTCGCATAAACCCAGAACCAGCGCCAGGGCTCGTATGGTCGCACCGAGTCGCAAAATTTAAGACCCACAGAGATTGCATCAGGTGGTAAGATATCTGGTGACGGCCCTCAGTAAGACTTAAGTATATTTGGGAATTTATTTATTCAGAACTCTGGTAAGCCTTAATCATATGCAAGAAGTATAATAAATAACTAAACTAATACAATACAGGCTTAATTGTCTCAGTGTGTAATAGAAGCAAGATAAAATTTAACGGAACAACTTTGTCATTAGTCGCCAAGCTCATGATGCATAGCCAAATATGTATGTATAGTGAACGATAGCTAAATTTGGCGATGATAGCCGCTAATTTTAAAGGTTTTCGGATATTGCAAAAGAAAGGTGAAATTTTTTAATTAACGGATTTTGTAAAGAACTGTGGAGAAGCAGTAATAAATGAAGGTGATATAAAAGAAATTTTTCATTGTCATGACAATGCTTCTCAATCATCAATCAATTAATGAATGGCAAAATCTGTAGTATGGTTCTAGATCCAGAAAAATACCTCTACCGATAGCGAAAAAAGTGACCGAGAAGTTACTGAAAACGAGAAAGTTTCGATCAACAAGTTAGTCGGAATTCTCGAAACAGAAGTTACAGGACTTCAACAATGTAATTAAACAAGAAATTATGTCTGTCTACAGAATTAAAGAGAAAGTATTATCACAAAAAACGAAGCAACTTAAACAACTTGCACTGAAAGAAATGTTTAATAAGATAAAAAAATAAATATTAAGCTCTTTTTTTGTAAATTTTGATACTTTTAGATCATAAATACTTCATTATTGCATAAATCACAATTTCATATTTTTAATTTTATAATTTCTACATGCCATATTACTAGATTTAAACTGATGATCTAATATCCGGAATTGCCGAAGTCCCGCCGAGTCCGTCCGGATTTTGGACTTTGTACTGTACATATAAAATGGCAATTACCTACATATTTTCATTATCATGAAAGCAATCTGATAACTGAAAAAAAAAAAAAAAAAAAAAAAAACCATGATGCCCTAATTGTTTTCAGATTGCATTGTTAAAAAGGATATCAGATAACTGAGAAAAAGAAAATTTATCTGCCTTGTACATCTTACCTGTCCAAGATAGGGTACACCTGTTACTAAACAAGAAAAGAATGAAGTCGAATTTGTGTATTCCGTCTGTAATGAAATCTTTTGAGTTTTTTTTTTCCCCCATTTAAAGTTTCACTTCTGTAAAATTGAAAGGTTAATAAAATCTGCTTCTGCTATGAATAAGAGGGTTCATGCCTAAGGACAATATTTTAGTAGCATCTCATAAAATGTGTATCATGAGAAGATTATGTGCATACATTTTAGAAATTTGCATATTTTTGGTACAAAAAGAATGAAGTGAAGCCTTGGTTAAAAAAATATATAGAAAATATATATACAGATATTTGTTGTAATTTTTGTACAATTAAGCGTTTTTATTTTTGTTTACGCATATAATCTATTGTTTCACTTGTTGTAGATGAGAAAAATGCGTTGCATTAAGTATCTTAATTTTTTGCTTACTTTGCAAATTTGCATTTAGGTTGTATCTCCAAACATTTTCCTTTTTTTTTTAACATCCAAAAGTGTATTTACAATTAAAAAGTGTTTTGGAAAAATTTCTAAAAACTTTACATTTTTTAGAACTCTAATATCTGAATTGATTGAATTGAAGATTGCCAATTATTCAAAGAAGTTAGGAGATTTAAAAAAATAACCAAATTTAGCATTTTAAAAATAGCATTTTTGAGTTCTCTCTGCCTCTGTGATTTTCACAAAACCTTGTATTGAAGCATAATTTGAGGTTTGTAACAGTGGGGTAGGCAGAATGGGCATGTCATTTCTGGAAAAAAAAAAAAATGTGTCAGTAAATATATTATATATCAGTATTACATTCCGTACATGTAGTATATATCGCTAATCATCCTTTAAGTCCATGAGAATGAAATTTTAATTTTATCTGTCTGCTGTGATTTTAGAATGCAAGACATTTTTGGGGGGGTGTGTAATTCACATTAAAATTTTGATGCACTTTTAATCAACACATACAGATCATGGAATTATTACAAGGATAGGAGATGCTGAACAAATTTGAAGGAGGCAGCAAATAAAAAGACTTCAGAAAGAAATAATAACAATAATAAGTAAATAAATAAATAAATAAAAACTTCATAAACTTCATACTTGTTGCAAATGCATCTTTGAATAAGTTATGTGGAAAACTTTATTATCAAAAATTCAAAACATCCATATTGTCAGATTACATATATATGTGATGACTCCATCATTCCATATCAAGTAGCAGCAGCAGTATTTTCCCCTTGTGATATGCATGTAGTATTCTGAATTTAAAATAACAATTGTGGAACAGTGTAATTGATCAGAACCTGACGAAGTACAATTTGACTGTTATTGAAATTATTCATATAATTTCCTGATTTGTCTGTCTTCAGCTGATTTTTATTAATTCCTTGTCCCGAAATGTATTTTGAGAGGAATAGCAGTTTAGCAAGTTTATCATTTATACTGAGAGAAAAAAAACTAAGAATAATAGATTGCAAGTCTTCATCTAACAACTTTATTAAAAATAATGATGAAAAATTATTTAGTTACTAAAAGCGACCATTTTAAATGAATACAACATAGTTTTAACGGCTAACATTAATAAAATGTTGATCACAAATTTCAGAAACTTTCTAAAGGTACTTTGTAAGATGTTTGATATTCTTATTTGCAGGGCCAGCATCAAATAGGAGGTTGCATAATTTTGTATTGTAACTTGGAATTTAAAATCAAATTTTAAATTTTTGCTTGTTGTAGATGTAATTGAATCATAATGTTATTATATAGCATTTCTCTGTTTACTAGAGTACTTGAGGATTTAGTAATTTTTTTAGATTACGCGTATTTTAGTGTGTTACCATATGTGTGTAAGACAACTAATAGTGTTTCCTTTATATGTAATCTTCCAAGCATATATACAATCATTAATTTGTCCCTTATAAATTGTACTGATTTTATGTTTAAAACGAAATTTAATTGTTAATGAAATGTTTGCTGATTTATTGTTGTTACTTTTTATAATTAAGGCTTCCACGATTGATGTTATTACATTTTTATAATTTAAGCCTTCTTGGATTGATGTTATTACTTTTTTATAATTAAGGCTTCCACGATTGATGGGCGTCGCAAAGGAGCTTGCCTTTTCTGCCAGGAATATTTCATGGATCTTTATCTGCTTGCTGAACTAAAGACAATATCCTTAAAGGTTAGTTAATATATTTTCATTTTTCATGAATATTTGTGATTGCTTGCAAGATACATCTTCCAGCCTTGAAATCTCAGTATTCCTAAAAATAAATATACATATATGAGAACCTTCTCATCTAATAATGCATGATGCAAACATCTGATCTAGCCAGCATGTGCCTTTCTGCCGGTTCCATGTTTAAGACATGGAATTGGCGGGATATCAACTAGCTTTAAGTAAACTGTCACTTCCAATTAACATTCAGAAAAAAAAATCTAATTTTTTTTTTTTTTTTTTAAATTTTATACCTCACAGTTAATTATAAACAGTACTAATTTTTTGTTCTTCTATTCTATACACTGGACGGTACTCTTCTAGTATGATGGCCATACTCGGAAGTATATATATAATTAAAGATGGTGAGAACAAACCAAAAAAGACCTTTGTGGTCAAGAACTTTTGCGCATTGAGCTGCAAAAATTAAAAAACAAGGTAAAAAGAATATTCTTAGTGCTTCCGCTAAAAAGTTACTTTGATACTGTGGTTCCGGTGAAAAATTTTACCATAAGTAAAATAAAGTGCAATGAAAAGTATAAACAATATTATCACTAGAATATTTACAAATAAAATTCAGATCTAATTGTAATATGTTGATCAAAGTAAGGCAAACTTTAAACAATAGAAAAAAGTGTTACATAAGACTTAAGCAAAAATACAAAAACAAAAAATCGGTATGTGGTAAATTAGCCCAATTCAAATCTCATTACTGACTCTTCAGGGGAAATTTATAATGATTTTCAAATCCAGCTAATTCCATATCGCGTTTTGTCGAAATAGACAGTTGAAACTGTACACGAAACTCTTTTTGTATATTAACTGTAAAAACTTAGTCAAAAACTATAGTCTCAATTCTCTGTTTCATTTCTCGATGCGTCCGCTTGAAAATGCAAATGAAAAAACACATTAATGGTGTAAGAAAAAACTATACATATTGGCCTGGTTAGGCAAATGTACAAAATAAAATATAATAAATAGCAATTTGCTATTAGTCAAGAATGCAAGATTTTTTTGGAGTACCAACTAGCTTATAGAGTATAAACTTTGTGAACGAAGTTAAAAAACAAAAAATTAAAATAAAAAACGAAGAAGAAAAAAGAATTTAATGGGTCTTGCTATGACCAAAAATTAATACAAGGGAAAAGAAAATTGAGCTGGATCAGTGACATCTTGTACGAGCCATGTTTATTCAAATGGACGATTGCCTCCAGAAAAGATAAGAAAGTAGCCAACCAACTAGGCAGGATGACATAAAAGGAAAAGAAACACCATGATGAAAGAGTCTCTGAAAAGTGACTTACCGTTGGCACAAACCTGACTCAGTGTGAGGGGGTGGTGGCAATTTGTTGAAGAATGAAGAAATTGTTCAAGATGGCGTCTTGCTTGACGAGTTTTAAGGAAGTTGGATGTAGGTGAAAGAAAATGGCTAATTCCACAAAATGTTAAAAATTGGCCACAGAAAGCAAGTATAAATTAGAAAAAAAAAAAAAAAAAAAAAAAAAAAAAATAGTAAATTGTTAATTAAAGTCTTAATTCTATCAAGCTTCTTGAAACGAAATAAGGCCCATAAAATCAATAACAGGATAGATATGGCCAGAAAAAGCTTAAAATCTATTCAAGAATAGAATTAGAAGTACTGAGACAAATTTGAAGAGTAAAATTGAAGCTGTGAGCACTTCACACCTTCCCCAAAGGGCTTTAAGCATAAAATTTCATTATCTAACTCAAAAAATCTAAAAGAAAAAGTTAATGGGCATTAATTGTATTGACTATGACCCTTTTAGAAATATTAGAATTCCAGTTAGTTAATTTAAGTGTTGGAAAGTTGAAATGTCTGCGTTTATTGTAGTTTTTAAAAAAATTGTAATCTAGAATATGCAAATCAAGGTAAAACTATATCATTTTGAACAGTATTAGTAGTATTTAGTTGGAGGCAAGAAGGGTAGATATTAGCTTTTTCAATTTTGTTGTAGTTGTTGAAGGCAATTACATCATCAATATAACGAAAGATATGTTGCTAATATTTTTGATCTTCAATTTTTAGTGATTGTACAAAAGTTAATTCATGTGTGAAAAGGAATAATTCACAAATTGCGGTTGAAAAGTTGCTGCACATTGGTATTCTCTATGTTTGTTTAAAGATGTTGTTATTAAATTAAATATAATTAATTGTTAAAAAGAAAGCTTGAAAGAAAAAGTTGCCAATCTTCAGTAGATAATATTGTAGTAATCTTGGGAAATAAATTAGGAAGAGTAAGTAAACTGCTATGAATTTCTTCAAGTGGTAAAGTAATATAAAGGTTCTCAAAGTCGTAGCATTGGATATGTTCTATTTTAAGTGAATTGAAGGTCTTAAGAATTTGTTCTTTCCTTGATATCATCCAGTTGCAATGTTGATCTTTAAAATCATAATTATTGATAATGTCTTGAATGAGATGAAAAGATTAGCAAATGGACGGATGTTGGGACGGATTTTAAGTCTTTTATGAAGTGCATTAAACTTATTGAATAGTATTTTAGTGCTGGTAGAGATTTTTTGATAGGTGCAAGTGCTATGTAATTCCTTATGCAGAATGTTGTAATAAAATATTTTTCAAATGACACTGAAATTGTTACTAGCTTTATCGATTTTGGTGATGATAAAGTTTTCTTGTAGTTTATGAATATGAGATTCTAGATGCCTTTGATTGTGGATATGACTGAAACTAGGTAACTTGAAAAGCGTAAGTTTAAAATCTTTAATAAGAGCTGCTTTCTATTCAAGGAATGTAGTTGTGGGCAAGTTGATGCTATTTACTAGCCAAAATAATGAATTTATCAAGATCATTGCTGAACTGTTTTAAGCAAAAGTGTTTATTAAGATTGAAAGTCTGAAGCTGCTGAAGTATGTTTTCTTTTCACATGTGATAATGTTTGCCCATTTACAAATAATATTGATATTTTAGAAATCTTTTAAAAGTCTGCACCTAATAAGTAACATTTACCTTTTCATCTGTAAAAAATAAAATTACACTGCGGTGGTTGTGTTAATATGCAAGTCCCGAATGAACACATTCTCGTTGCATTTAGCATAATTCAAGAATACCCTTAATACATATGAATGTAATATGTTCTGAATCACACACCTATTTTAAATACAAAAATTTAGAAGTTGTGGATTATCTCATAATGCGTTTATTTTAGAAAAGTCTTTTCAGAGTTTCAAGTAAAGTATCACTTCTAGTATATTAGTTTTAGCCAAAATCTGATATGTTTTTCCCATCAATATAAAAGTTTTAAATGGTAAATTTCATATGTTTTGGTAGTATTTTAATATAGTTCTTCATTAAAAACTGTTGGGGCTTCCTGTAAAGTACCACTTCCAGTTAATTACTTTTACCCAAACTCTAATCAACTCTCTCTCTCTCTCTCTCTATATATATATATATATATGTGTGTGTGGTTAACTTAAATATGGAAAAGTTTCATCTAAAGCAAGGATGTCAAACACGCGGGCCGCATGCGGCCCACAACAAATATTTTTGCGCCCCGGCCAATATATCGGCAAATAATAATATATAATAATAAAATAACATATCGACGAAGAAAAAAATGAAATGTTTACTGCTAAGTAATTAACGATAATTTATTCAGTGTTGTTAGATTACTCACAGCGAGCTGAGACACCCACTACTTAAATTACAAATGCGTGTGAGTAGCTTGCATTCAGCTACCTTCGGCTTTTGGGGGACACGTGCACTCTGAACTTGTACTCATCCCTCGATAGCCAAATGTGGCCGAACTCATGGTCTCAGTTTTCCAATCATAGTTTTGTACGATATATTGGTGCATGCACTTTGCTGTATTATTAATTATTACTTAATTCATATTGTTACGGATTTCATAGTTATTTATTTATTTAGTTTTTTTTTTTTTTTTTTTTATTTAGCATTGTAATTAGATTTGCTTCATGTTGCCTTAGCAACGCAGACGATTTTTGAAAAGACAGCTGCATTGGAAGGTTAAAAGTAGAACAGCGCGTGCATTTAATACAAGGATGTCAAACTCACGGCCCACAACAAATATTTTTGCGGCCCGGCCAATATATTGGCAAGTAATAATATATAATAAAATAACATATCGACGAAAAAAATGAAATGTTTACTGCTAAGTAATTAACGATAATTTATTCAGTGTTGTTAGATTACTCACAGCGAGCTGACACACACACACTACTTAAATTACAAATGCGTGTGAGTAGCTTGCGTTCAGCTACCTTCGGCTTTTGGGGGACACGTGCACTCAGAACTTGTACGTATCCCCGATAGCCGAATGTGGCCGAACTCATGGTCTCGGTTTTCCAATCATAGTTTTGTACGATATATTGGTGCATGCACTTTGCTTTATTATTAATTATTACTTAATTCATATTGTTACGGATTTCATAGTTATTTATTTATTTAGTTTTTTTTTATTTAGAATTGTAATTAGATTTGCTTCATGTTGCCTTAGCAACGCAGACGATTTTTGAAAAGACAGCTGCGTTGGAAGGTTAAAAATAGAACAGCGCGTGCATTTAATACCTAATAAATAAATATCTCGTAATTGCTGTTGCCATCCACAAAAATCCAGGTATTTATAGATGTTTCCAGTATATTCGAGAAATTAATTATAAAGCTTATAAAAGCCGAGAACAAACAACTCATCTCTCAGTAGTAGCTGTAGTTCTAGCGAACTGTTTGTTTTTACTTAATGCTGTGATTGATTTGTAGCGATTTCGCTGTGAGATAGAATTAGTTTCTCTGTTTTGAATTGATTTTTGCTAAACGTTTGACATTTTGTGATATTGTTAGAATATTTTTGAAGAAATATTTCAGCATTTTGATTTATCTCTTGTGGAAAGAATAAATTTTTGTTAACTTTTTAACGTTAACCATGTTTATTCCAGCCCTTTGTATTCAGTATGTCTATATCAAAACCAAGTGGTAGTAAAATTAAACGAAAAATCGCTGACGAACATAGAATATTCCAAGTAAAATGGGAATTTGAATATTTTTGCTGTGAAATAAAAGATAAAATAATCTGCTTGATATGTAATAATACTATTAATGTACCAAAGTTATATAATATTAAACGTCATTACGAACAACACAAATCGAAATATAACAATTACGAAGGATTAATGAGAGAAGAAAAGTTGAAAGAGCTCAAGTTAGGAGTGAAAAAGCAACAGTCCATGTTTAGTAAAGTATTGCAAGAAAGTGAAGCGGCGGTACATGCAAGCTACGTCTTGTCCGAGTTGATAGCTAAACATTCGAAGCCTTTTACTGACGGTGATTTCATCAAGGAATGCCTAATGAAAGCTGGAGAAATTGTTTGTCCTGGAAATGTGAAGGCTTTTCAATCAATTTCATTGTCTCGAAATACAGTTGCGGAAAGAGTTACTGAATTTAAGCGAATTTAAGTGATCAGATCAAAGCAAAATCATCTAGTTTCGAAAGTTTCTCCATTGCCTGTGACGAGAGCACGGACATTAGTGGCAAAGCTCAATTAGCAGTTTTTCTTCTTCGTTCTTGTGACAAGAATTTTAACATTTTTGAGGAATTACTGGAACTAATACCGATGCCTGGTACTACCACAGGAGAAGATATATTTACTTTACTTGTGTTTTGGACTTCTGCAGAAAGAAATACAATCTACCTTTGGCAAAATTAAATTCTGTAGCTACAGATGGCGCTCCATCAATGACCGGGAAAAAACAAGGGCTTCGTAGCATTACTAAGAAAAAAACTTAGTGAAATTCACGGTTCAAACATTCATCATATGCATTGTATTATACATCAAGAAGTTCTATGCACGAAAGTAATAAATATGGAGAATGTTTTGTCATATATTAAAAAAGTTATAAATTTTATAAGATCTCGAGGTTTAAATCAGCGTCAATTCACTGCTTTCTTAAGTGAGTTAGATAGTGAATATTCGGGTTTGTCCTACTATACCGAGGTACGTTGGTTATCTTGCTCCAAGATTCTCAAACAGTTCTGGGATTTGAAAGAAGAAATATGTCAGTTTTTAAAAACGAAAAATCAAGACATAAGTTTGTTTTACGATCCAATATGGATACAAGATTTATCTTTCTTGGTTGATATAACCAAACACTTAACCGATTTAAATTTATCGTTACAAGGAAAAGATCATATCATTACGAACATGTTTGACATAATTAAAGCATTCAAATATCAACTAGTTCTTTGGGAAAAACAACTTAAAAGTGAAGATTTGATGCACTTCCCGAAGTGCAGCATGAAGAAATCAAGTTTAGATGATACTTGTTCGTATCAAAAATATGCAGGAAAAATTGCAAATTTAACAACTGAATTTGAAACGAGGTTTAATGATTTTAGTTCCCTCGAAGACAATTTTTTTTTTTTTTTTTCTTCGATTTTTCTCAATAAGTATTGACTCAGTACCCTACCCAGCCATATGCAAATGGAGGTGATCGAGATTCAATGCAACTCAAATTTGAAAGCAAAATTCATTGAAGTGGGCGTGCCTGAATTTTACAAATATTTACCAGCCAGGTTTGAAAATACTCGAAAATTCGAAAATTCGCATATGAAATTATTTCCATGTTTGGTAGCACTTATCGGTGCGAGCAGTTATTTTCAGTCATGAAAGGTAATAAGTCTCCTATTAGAAACCGTATTAATGATGCTCACCTTGGGTCAGCGTTGAAAGTTATAACTGCAAACAAAATTTCTCCCGAAATAGGAAAGATAATAGCAGAGAGGAGATGTCAAGTATCAGGACGTAAACATTAAATTTTTCTTGTTCTTTTCTATATATATATGTTTATTATTGTATTATTCAAAATAAATCTACGTTTCTATGAATATTGATTTTTTTTTTTTTTTTTTTTTTTTTTTTTTTTTTGGCAGCTCGCCTAAAGTTAAACCTTGTTTGTTTGGCCCAAGTGTGCCTATGAGTTTGACATCCCTGATCTAAAGAGTTATTATTTGCAAAAAAAGAACTGGATGCACACACACAGACAAACATCATTGCATAAACCATAAAAATTTGTTATGGGGACCCTAATTTGTGATTAATCACCAAAAACTAATTGTACAATTTTTGGGACCTCCTTTACCTTATTTGTGTGAAATATTTAAAAAAAAAAAAAAAAAAAAAAGGTGGGAAAGTAATACTTGGCAATGCAACATTTTAAATTTTTTTTATTTTGTGATCCCGGTGATCTATTATTGAAACAAAATAATAAAATAAGAATGACTAGATGTGTAAAGAATCATAAATTTCTTGCATCTGTCTGCTCTTTTGTTGCTTGCCACATATGATTACGAAGTTATTTTTGTTCAGTGTTTAATTTTAACAACACTTTATCCTAGAAGGCATGTTGTTGTGCATTTATCTTCGGGTAATATATTTCTTTAATGTGGATGTATGAAATCGTGAATAATTTCAAAATTATGTATAATTGGTTTTTGTTTAGTAGGTGTAAAGTTTAATTGTTGTATTATATATTGTAAGACATTTGCAACATCAAATAAAGCAGTATTAAAGTGTGTTGTGCATTGGGACCTAATGTGTACTGCACTTTCTGTCTTTTAAGCATAAAAGGGTATTGAAGCTTAAAAGGATCTTTGAAAATATTACGGTATGAAGATGTCATTAGTAGAATCATGTTTGGGTTGGGTAAATAATAAACATTCCATGTTACAATAAATACACAGGTACATTGAATAAATATATAATAGTGAGGTGATGCATTAAATTGGTCAGCTGTCTTTATTTTGCCTTAGCAACATAGGCTGAATTGAATAAAATACCTATTTGAGAATTGTTTATGACGTTTGCATGCATACCAAGTGCAAATTCAACTGCCATAACTGTTTGCTTTCATGTAAACATATATTGCATAATTCCAATAATTTGTGAATGCCTGAAATCCATGTTCAGTTTCGAATGTAAATTTCGATTTTTCAAAAAATTCAGTATGGAAGATTTAATAGCATTTTTTAACATGTGTATCAAAATAAACATTTAAGCAAAAGCAGGTTATAAAATATTTTAATTGAAGAAGTGAAATTATTGATGTTACATATTTTCTGTGCCCACTTCAGCATTAAAAAAAAATAAATGCAGATGATGAATCTTGACAAATTTTACTGAAGATAAATCTACTTTTTGGAATATATTCCATTTCCTTTTAATTTTGTGTGGGTATTTTACCATTCTGTTCAATGAGCAAGCATGTTCAGATAAGTCAGTGAGTAGCAATATGTTCTGGAAAACAACAGTTGTTAACATTTTTTTATGGTAAAAAATAGGAATAAATGAAAGAGAGTTAAAAACAGAGTCACTTAATAAATTCAAATATTTAAATTCTAGTTGTTTTTTATTGCATTATTAATCCAGTTGTGTTTGCACAGAACATAATGGCAGAGCTTGTGAATAGATTGTTATGAGAAATCTTCCCAGTTGGAGTTTTTCTAAACATTTCTTTATCTTCCCCCCTTCATTTGAGAGCATAAAAATAACTTTGAAAGTTTATAATACTACAGTGGATATGCATTTAGTTTTTTTTTTTTTTTTTTTTTTTTTTTTTTTTTTTTTTTTTTTTTTTTTTTTTTTTTTTTTTTTTTTTTTTTTTTTTTTTTTTTTTTTAAACATAGAAATGAGATGAGTTTTTACAAAAACAGTTCATTTCCTTAAAATGTTTTCTTGTTTAACCTCTGAACTACATTTCATCCCTGTACTAACATTACTGTCTTTTCATATAATTATGGTTTAAAAATATAATAGTTCTATAATTTGTAAATCTTGGTTGACTAGTTCTTAAAGTAGGGATGTGATTTATTTATTTCTGTGCATTTCATATTGAAATTAGAAAAGGGAAAATGTATGCAAAATTCAGAAAAATATGATTTGTAATCTGCAAAATTCTCTAATCCATACAGCTCTTACTCCTAAGATGTGCAGATTATCAGAATTCTGTTGTAATAGTAACAAACAGATGAGCAGTTCCCAGCCTAAGTGTAAACAGTTTGATGACTTTATATGTAGGTTGTTATATGTAGCTTTATATGTAGGTTGCAAGTTTGGTGAGATATTGAGCAAAACATTTTCAGTAAAAGAATAATTACAAAGCAATGCTAAAAAATGGTGAACAATTCTTGCTTAGAAATACATAATGTTGAACAAAATTAGCTGCTGAAATTAATAGGCAGTTAATGATTAAAATGTATTTAGTTCAAACATATAAGGTTGTTCTACAAATTTCAAAAGCTTATTTTCTTAGCTCATTAACTAGGTAGTTAAAATTATAAAAATCTTATTGATAATGCAGTGCTGCTTTGTAACTTAGCAAAATCTGGAAATGTTTCTGTCAAATTTTCTCTGAAAGTTTGCATTTGGCAGTCAAAACTTCATAATTTTTTTTTTTTTTTTTTTTTTTTTCTTTTGTGGAATATCTGTAAGGATTTATCAGCAAATTTAAAAAAAAAAAAAAAAAAAAAAAAAAAAAAAAAAAATCTTTTTGAATATATAGTTTCATTTTCTTTCCTACCTAACCAGTATTACTAAAAGTTCGATAATCTTTGTTGCTAGATTTATTGAACTTCTATAAGGTTTTAATTTTAGTGTAATTTATAAGCTTGTCAAATATTTCATTTAAGTAAAAATGTAAGTATTTTATATTTTCCAAAATTTCATGCAGGTGACTACTGTGGATATGTTAAAGCCACCACCTGATTTTCGTTCCAATTTTGATTCTACACCACCTCCAATTCTTATTGATAGGGGCCTGAATATATTAGAAAATGAAAAGATTGAGCGTTATATAATGAAGAATGTGCCTGGAGGCCATAATCTTTTTGTACAAGACAAGGATACAGCAGCAGTCATTGAGGATTTGTATATTGTAAGTTTAATAATTCATATTTAGCAATTAAATAATGAGTTTTTGTGTCTTAGTGCTTAAAGTATTACTCATTTCTTAAGTGTCTGATGTTCCACTTCTTTACAAATAGTCTTTGTGATGGTATGATAATTTCTCAATAGATTTAGCAGATTTAAATTATAAAACATTGAATGGTAAGAATTTGTTAATCTTTAGAATAACTGTAGCCAAAATAAATTTTGAATTTTTGAAATGGTTACTTTAAAATATTGGCTAGGTTTGCTATTATACCACTCTGTGTTTTATCTTGAAAAAGGTTTACTGTTAACATTTGCATCATTACGCCTTTTAGCTTGATTTTTGCAGTTTCTGCTGAGTTGCTCCTTTCAGCAGACCTGAAAATAATTTGAGGCTTAATTTTGCACTACTGAAGATGTCTTTTGCATCTACAGGATACTACAGATCATAAAGGCAGAAACCTTCATTAGTGTGCTGTGCCACAAAGGTGCCTAAACCTTTACGAAAATCAGCTTCAAACTTGAATAGTGAAATTTTTGGGAAGTTGCAGACACCTTCAATTCTTATGCTAGATATTGCTATGCAGTCCAGTTTTCATTTGCGTTGATAAATAATTAAGCAGATGTTGAAATAAATCCATGACACTTTTATGAAAAATGGGGAATTTGTATAAAGTTACCTATACCTGTATGGAAATGCTTGGTTACCATTACGATGCTAGTGTTTTTTCATTGGTTGTGGTGAACCAAAATAATGTTGTAGGTTGTGGTTTTCGAAAGAGGTTCATGTTATTAGAGCTGCCTTATCATTTAATATCATAATGTAATCTTTTCATAAAAATGCCAAAATGCTATACTTGCGAGGTGTGGATACACTTTATATATTATAGTCTTGCTTCATTAGATCTAGGATGAAAGTAGACCATAAACTTAATGTGTTTTATCATAGATCTAATATTCTGTTTAATGTTAATTTTTTAATGCGCCAAAAAGAGTTAGTCGAATAGGACGAAATTCGGTAGAAGTGATGTATGAAAAAAATTAAAATTTCAGATGACTTGATTTGTTTTATTCAGGAGATACAGCTACATATACTGAATAAATCAGTAAGACATTAATCTACCTCTGGTCCTAATGCAAGTTGTTATCTGGCTTGGGATTGACTTGTAGAATTGTTGGATGACTTCCTGTGGGATTTCTTGGCCAAACTCCTTCCCCAAGTTGAAGCATCACCATTGTGGGGTGGTCAAAGATATCTGTTCAGCAGACCCTATTTATGCTTTGTTGGGGAGATATAGCCCCTGAGGTGTTTGACAAACAAAAAAAAAAAAAAATCGTTACAAATGACTGCCGTGTGCATTTGGGAATTAACCTGCTGAAATCATCACCGACATACTGCTGCGCTGCAAAGATGTCATGGATAACAACCAAAAGGATTGAACTATCAAATGAAATGGCACAGATCATAACTTCCTTTTGACTGTTTGATGGACAACTATTGGATCAGTTTCCCACTACTGTTGACTTCACTCTTAATCATGACTCAAGACTTATAGCTAAAGACAATTGGTCTTTGATCAGTTTTTGGGTCAGACAAGCTGGACAGCACTGCATACGTGCTTGCTGGTATATATAAGTGAGCAGTCGTTAGGACAGTGGGCATTGTGATGACAGACTAGCCTCTGAGTTGCCTATTAATGATTTTTCAGACCACTCATATCCCTGTTACATATGAGATGTTAATAATGCTGAATTGGGTGCAGTGAGAGTTGCTTAAATGATCGGTCTGTCCTCTTATGTCATTTTTCTAGATCGATCAGTGTCTTTTTGATGCTGTTATGTGTCATGGTTCAAGAGTTCCTAACAGCACTGTCATTACTGCAAATTTTTCCATTTTTACATCTCCTGCTCTCCTAGTAGATTACTGAATGTCTTGGTTTTAAATTTTTATTCTTTACTAAAGAAGGTATCTCGGCAGTAAATGAAGTTTATTGAATTAATTGTTCTTGAATTGTACAAATTGCATTCACCTATCCTTACTAATTTTCAGTATAATTTTTTATATTAAATTTTGTTTGGTTATTACTGTGGATGATTTCAGACTTTTTTTAATAAAGATTCAAGTGTTTAATTAGTTAATATTTGTACTTTATTTTTGTTTTATACCAGTAATTGGTGCAATACAATATTTATCCACGTAGTAATATATATTAATTGTATTTTCATTGCCTTTAAAAATACGTAGGTAAATAAAAGCTGTTTTCCCTACTTGGGCTTTCTCGGTATAAAAGTATAAGAAAATTACAAAATGAAAATAGCAAGATAACTCAGCATGACGTTGCATCTTCAGATACAAAATATTGTATGAAATCAGAATATTAATGTTATTTTGAAAGAATATTGTTCTGAATGACTATTCCAAGAAACTGCAAATAAAGCAATAATAACTAAACAGCAGATGGTAAAAAATCATGTCATGTGGAGTATTTACATATTATCCCACTGACCATGAAAGGGGGCAGAGATTCTGCAGAAACTAACAACTTTATTTTTAATAAGTAGTTGGTATTCAATCTGCTTATTAGTTTTTGCACTTCGTAAAAGGGCTTTTGTCGTTTTCTTCTATTTTGTTAGGCCTGATTTTATGGAAGCTGTGTAGAGTTCTATGAGTACAAACTCTGCACAGATTATTGCACACAATAATATTAATATTACTGTTTTGTCTGTATTCACCTAACCTTATCATATCCATGAAATACACTTTTTTTATGGTAAGCTCTCATAACTTTTAAAATAATCCTCTGCTTGTTTTATAGAAGACAGGTTCTAGGTTTTAATATTGTTTTCTAAATGCAATTCAAAATACAGCAATAACAATTAAATTATGTATCCTTCTTCGTTAAAATAAAAGATGGCTTATCCAGAGAATCGATCAGGGTTACTTTAAATGAAAGCACAGACATTATGCTTATTCATAATTGGCGCTGAATCGCATTGCTTTGTGATACTTTCATGGTCAATGAGATAATACATAAGCACCATTACATTTTATAATGAAAGTTTAAACATCTGTTAATAATCAGTTGCATTTATCTTGAATATACAATGGACAATTTCATGATGATGTCGTGTCTATGACAAAGTGCAATTATATAGCTCCGAAGCTGTCAAAGACAGCTTTTGCAACCTCGGCAGCTCTATCCTTGGACAATTTCATGGATTACTTATTAGGAGCAAGATTGGGACTATAGGATGGATGGCTTAATACATTTTCTAGCAAGACTCCTGCAGATATATATTGAGCTGTATGTAGGCGAGAATTGTTGTGGATCAACACAACACCAACATCGAGCGTACCATGATTTGTTCCAGATAACACATTCCAAATTCTACATGGTTTCACAGTAATAATTAACATTTATCTCTAACTAGGAAGTCAATGAGCAGAATGCCCTTTCTAACCCAGAGTAACCCAGAGTCCTGCTATGAAATCCTGTGACACTAATGCATTGTTTTTCTGTTAGGCTTCCAGGACAAAATGAGCAGTTCGTGTTTCATTAACTGTGGTGATCCTTTTGAGGAATTCGTCATTGCCATCATGCAGAAAAGTCAGTGCTTATCAAGCTCTCTAGCACACACCTCGAGCAAAATTTCCAGATCAGTAGGTGTTTTGTGATAATTTTGTGCAACAAAATATTGGATATCTGTAGAAAATGGTTCCTGAGTTTGTATTCTGAAGCAGTGGTTCTCTCTAAAATGGACTGGTGGACAAGGTTATTTAATGGGTGGCCATCCAGTGTGCTCTGGATTGTGGATGTCTTGAATCACCTTAAAAAATTGCTTGCAGAAACACCACACTACCTGCATGCTGAGTGATGTCACGCCTGCAGACTTGACACAGATGGTGTTGAATTTCAATCTGTGTGTAAAAATTTTCTCAGAGACCTAACCTTGTACTTAATGGATGAAAAAATAAGCGCTAAGCCTTTTAAGCTGTTGTAACTGTTTTGATAAATGACCAGGAAGTGACAACTGTTGCATATGATAGCCACATCATAAAACTCTAAGCCATGTGTGTTTGCCTTAACAGTGGTGCTTGCCATGTGATGTCAGCAAACTTGCAACTGTTTTGAAGAAAATTTGTTTGAAAATAGCATCTGCAATTAGCAGATTTTGCTCCCCAGGGAACAAAGAAAAAGAAGATTGCTGAAGTCCAGTGCAATATTTCTACGAGTAATGTTTTTGCTTGTTTTAAAAGCAGATTCCTATCATCCTCTGTTTAATTTGAGGCTGGTTTTTTTTAATAATCTTCATTTTATGGTTTTGGTACATAATTGCTTAATAAGCTGGATCCCTTTTAGTATTTCTTTGTTTTTTAATAAACATGTAATTTCTTATTTGAAAAGAAAATCTAAATCTATTAAATAATAAAATGAGATAAGAATTTCCAGAATTTGAAAAGTTTTAAAAGAAGTCATCTTTTTCACGTGTTAGTGTGTTACATTGTATTTTTAGTGCTGATGTTTGTTTAAATATCTTATTTTAATATTTTCTTAATTTGAATAGAAATTTAAATTAATGCTTACAAGGCGAGATGAACAATCAAAACGAGCTCTTCTAAATCAACTAAGGAATATAGATGCCCACTTGGAAAAAAAAGCAGGACGATTTTTGACAGGAGATACCATGTGTTGTTTTGACTGTGAATTAATGCCTCGATTGCAGCACATCAGGGTAGCAGGTACAGAAAAAAATTTATACTTTAGTTTTTCTTCTTAATGTTAGCTAAATTTTAGCCTAAATTAGACATTTTTAATACCTATATTCCTGATAATCTGTATTTTAACATGAGCTTTCTTGTGTTATTGGTATTAAATAGTCATGATACAAAAAAATTCAGATTAATATATTTTTGTGTATTTTTTTTACTAATTTGCTTTTTTAAATAGTTTGCTTTTCTCCATGAGCATTTTATTCATTTAAGTCACTTGGAATTTTTAAGAATAATGGTTTCATAATTTTTTTGATAATTAGTAAAAATTGACAGGATTTATTTGAGAATTCATTATAACCTCTGACATATAACTCATATTTTAAACAGGGTTTGTACGGTCCTTAAGAGTCCGTAAAAGTCCTTAAATTTTTTTGAATTGATTTTTTGTCCATAAAAGTCCTTAATTTTAATCATCTGAAATTTCTGTCTGTTTTTGTGACTGCCATTTTGAGTGTGCATTTTGGGGGAATATTTTTGTCGATTCACTGACATATATGGTTATCTTTTGAATGGGTTAATGGGTTATAATTTGTTTCTATTTCTAATATAAATGATGGGATACTTGTGTTTCTAAACAGGAAGTGAAACACAAGCCTTTCGAAATTCATTTTTTCTAATAAAGAGCTCTTAAAAAAGTTTTCGCTTTTGGGGATGCGAGTTCTTTTATTAAACGCTTCTAAATTTGGCAACTTGTCACCATTTTGGCGATTTTAAGATCAGTTTCTGTAGAACATTTTTAATTCCGAGATCTGAAAATTTTTTGACGATTTTTTCAAAACATCACAACATTGATAAATTTCATTAAAAGAATGGTAACATATTGAAATTATATTTAAAAAATAACATTAAAATAAAACATTTTTATTTTTTGCAGTCATATTATAAAGGTTCATTTTGGCAATTTATTATACAATATTTTGAATCTGAAAAATAAACAATGTAATAATGCCATAAAGCATAATTTATGAAAGAGCTCTTAGCAAAAGCAAAATTAGCTATATAATTAATTTAAAATGTCTTCTTTTTAATTTTTTCATTGTAAGCGTTTTTCCCATGTAATTGTCTTAGAATATTCAAAATTCTCATAAAATGTATCAGTTTTCTCTATAAAATTAATTTTACACTTCTCTCTCTCTCTCTTTTTTTTCCCCCCCAAATTATTTCTGGCTTTTTGCTGTTACAGAATTGGTAGGGATAATTTTGCTTTAGTATTTTAGACATTGCAGCTTGGAAAGTTTAGAAGGCAAGAGCTATAGACCCACGATTCTAGAAGATTTGTAAAATATGTGACAAAATGAAAAATATCTCAATGTTATCAACACCTAATGGATGTATTTTACAGAAAGTTTGTGATGAATTTCTTACTTTTTGAAGAACGTATGGAAGAATATGAAACAAATATTTGAATGTTGACTCCTGATACTAGAATCTTTTTCTTAACATGTTTATCTTCTCTTTATTTTCTCTACTTTTCACTAGACACAAGGATGGAAAATATCAAAAATGCTTCTAATCTTATCACTTGAGCAGGCATTATAGAAAGGGATTTTTTTATTAATAAAGAAATTAAAAACTTACAATTTAAAAGATTCATCTAATATGTATTAATGCATCATACACATAGCTGGCACTAGGCATTTTCCCACCTGATGCAATCTCCGTGGATCCTAAATTCTGCTTCCAATGCCTGCTCTAAATTTAAAAATTTTGCCATTTCTAGATTTGGTTGTTCGGTGTGTCACTAAATTCTAAAAATTATGCCATATTAAAATTACACCAGCTCTGTAACTGTCCTTTACCATATATATTTCATATTTCTTTTGAATATTCATATTACTAAAGAAATAAAATTAGCCATTTTTTCTATATATTCTAAATGCATTTAGTGTTTTTTAGAATAACAGAAATCCTTAATTAAATCCCAAAATTCTAAAATGAATAGGTAAAAGGGTTGTAGAAAGAAACTGAATGCATAAAGAAAATTATTCTTCAAAGATATGTGCAGTTATTATTAAGTAAATTACCCAATTGTTTATGATTTCAGCCTTTAGTATAGGCCCACCAGTGGCCAAGCGGTAAAGTCGCTGAACATTGGTAGTTCGGTCCGAGGTTCGAATTCCGCGAACGGGCTGGCTGCATGGGTGTTTTCGTGGTTTTCCCCATGTGTAACGTGTATACGAGCCAGTTTCCCTTAGAAAGTCCTCCACGAAAGGCATCCCTCCTCTTAGGCAGATAGCCCTAGTGTGCTTTGCCATAATTAAATACGTCACGTCACAGCCTTTAGTATAATTCCATTTCTATTTCCTCAAATGATAGAGTTACGGAGCCAGATTAAATTTAAATTAAATTGTATAATCTTTGACCACTAGTCCACATTTTGAGTTTGAATTTGACTGCTCTTGTATAATTAATTACGTCACCGTGAGCTGTAATTGATTTTGTTAGCATCAGAACATGCCTTTATGTTATAAGTTCTTTTTAAATAAGAGGCTTAAAACCTTTGTCTGATATTGTAGTTACTTTCAGACATAGCAATAATTTGCTTCACGTCTGTCTGGGGTTTGGTACTATTTAACTTTTACCAGATCAAGTAAACCCTCATAGCTACATTGTGGAGAGGTTGGTGAGTTAGGAGATAAAGCACGCAAAAACTAGCGAGAGCATTGGTTTGCATATTGAGACAATTCTCTAATTATTGTTAGAAAAGATGCTTAAAGAGAAGGAAATCGATATAAACTAGCCAAAATGTTTGGGAAGGCTTTAAATTAAAATGACGGATAAATATTTTGTTGAGTGTTGTTACAAAACAGTTTGTTACAAAACAGAACTGTTTTGTAGCTTTTAATGTGTAATTAGCCTAATATCATTTAAGTATCAATGTCATAAATTACATGTATTTTAAACTGTGAAATTCTATTAGATTGTGATTTTAATAGGGCTTTTTTTAACAAATATTGTTAAAAAATAAAATTTAATAGCAGCCATGTAAATCCATAATGACTAAGGTTATCTAATTACCTAATTTAATCATTTATAATTAACTGCTTACCCTTAAAATTATCTCTACATATTAAAGAGAGTTATTTGCCTTTCATTAATACTCACTGTGGTCACAAGATAAAACAGGGTTCGTAGCGGTCCTTACAAGTGCTTATAAGTCATTATATTTGAAAATAAAATATAAAGGCCCTTATAGGTGCTTACTTTTTCTTTAAAGCCCTTATTTTTTTTGTTTTTAGACCTTATTTTTTGCTTTTAGTGCTTTTTTTTTATCCTTTTTTTTTAATGAACATGCATTTTTTTCCCGTACCAAAGCCGAAACTAAATAAACAACTTTTCTTCCTTATTTGCAATGTCAGATGGTGAATCATACTCCCGGAAATTGCTTTTCCCCCCTTTCTCTGCATTACCGTAACCTATGGTGCGTGCGAGAGTACAGACAGGTGCACGTTGTTCTATTGGTCAAAGAATTACGAAAATGGTAGAAAATTCCATTACATTCGGTATTCTTTTCCTCCCACCCAAATACTACACACGTTTGAATTTCTATCAAGATTTTAATAATTTGCATTCTCGTTCCGCGTGATCAGTTCATATTCGTGTTTATTATGATCGTTATGCTTATATTATGAATATATGCATGAATATTTATAATAATATAGTTGCAGTAACTGCTGAAGTATAGATAAACTTCCAAAAATGGGTGTGTTTTTACACAGATTAGCTTTCTAGGGAATAATATTCGGAATGGCTTAAATAAAAGGAAGGTAATCGAATAGTCAAAATAAGTTCTTCCCCCCCTCAATACATTATACAGTACGGAGGTTGGGAGGTTCTCCACTTTCTCCGCAAAATCTCTAATATTGAAGCAGCGGATTCCCCTCCTCCCCACTGTCCAATCTGGATTGAATAGGACTAAAAGTTCTTGCTATCTACCCAACCTAAGCGAAGATTGATTCTATTCCAGAAATTTAACGCAGTCTGTTGAAAATTAGAATCAGAAACACCCCAAATTAGAAAGTCTCTTTCTTTTCCTTTATTTAGTTCTTTATTCTCCGAATACCGGCAGCTGTTGATTCCGATTGCGTAATATCACATGTGGAAGAATTACGCCGCACGTATTGCGCAATAACATTTGCGGTGTTTTGCAGAGATAATTGATTTTGATGTTCCATCTGAGATTTGTTTATGAACACTTAAAAGAGTTTTTCTGTGCTTTCTAAGTAGAATATTTCTCAGTTCCGTTGGTCTGTTTTTATATGATGCACATATCGAAATGTCAAAATCATTTATTAAGCCGAGAAATCTAAAGAACGGCTACTATCTCCCCCCAATCCTCTTTTTCCAGTTACTATCCGGAATATTTGGCAATTTCCGAGTATGCGGGTTAGTTAAGCTTTTACTGTTAAAGGAGACTGCATGAAGCAGTTTCCCGTCTTCTGATTTCAGAAATGTGCCTCTTTTTTACTTAAATTACTTTGCTTGGAATATATGTAAGGGAAAACTGTTATGCAATGAAAATTTAGAAATTGTCAGAATTTTGATTTAAGTTAAATTATTTAAATATTAATATGAGTGGAAAAATAAATTGTATTTTATTAGGTGCCAAACGAATACAATTAATATGGCTTATTATATTATTTTCTATATTTTAAACTGAAATTTCATCATTAAATCTGTTGTATATAGTTTAGTTCTGCATAGTTTTTTTTCTTCTCATTGTAAACTAATTCTGTAAATTGAACTGTCATTTAAAATTAAAAAAAAAAAGTTAATTGTTTTCCATGGCTCATTTTCTTAATAAATATTTGCATTGCTTATATTTTAAATTACAAGTCTAATTTTTCTTTTAAAGTTATGCAGTTGTGTATAATATAATTAGACAGGTGCTTATTTTTTCCTTAAAATGTGCTTGAAAAGTGCTTATAGGTGCTTATTTTTTTAACTAAAATGTGGCTATGAACCCTGTAAAACACAAAAATGTAAAACTTACTCTTTGCATCTAGTGAGACTTAATACAAAACAACTTATCACCTCTGCTGCTTTAATGGCTTATTGAGACCTTAAAGCATATTAACTGGGTTACAACCTCTGGAACTCTACACAAAGCTATGACACTAACTGCATCAAACAGAGCCTGACTAAATTTCAACACTTGCCAACTGTGCCTACATCAGGCCTTTCAGGTTTGTTCAATTCAGCATGTTTCTCTCTGGACAATCAGCAGTGGTGATTCTTTTGTTATGAATCATGCTGATTATGATCTTACTTCTCATTTTAACCTATGCCGCTTGACATAAAATCTAACACCTGCTATTTACGAAATCTCTAGACTGACCAAGTATGTGACAAAATGAGACATAAAAAATCAACATAAAGCTAACTATTAGTAAAATGTAAATGTCACATATCTTCTTTCAAATATGTCGAACTTTTACAAGTGTAAAATATTTAATGCTACTTGATAAATTGCATAAAGTTTATTTTATTCTCAAACTTATTAATAATTATGTTATATTCATCATTTAGTAATAATGCATACTATTAGGAATCTATTTTATTTTAGGACGGTATTACAAAAGTGAAATTTAAGCATAGAATAATATTTTTAATTGAATGTATACAGTTCCCATTTGCTCATAGGTCCTTAATTTTTTTCATTAGTGGTCCTTAAAAGTCCTTAATTTCCGTGTGCAGAAATGTGTACGAACCTTGTTAAAGTTTGCAGTTCTGTAATTCTACTTGGCATTTGCTAATGAATTTTGATAGAGTTAAAAAAAAATAAATAAAGGGGGTTAATAAAATAAAAAACTAAATTATTTCAACTCGAACTGATTTTTAAAATTTAACAAAAATGTGCTTTGTTATTTTATTGAAAATGCTCTGTTACTATATCTGTTTTAAAATAAATTTTAAAAAATTTCATGTTTGCAAGTTTATTGGGTAAAAATCATTAAATTTTAGTAATAGCTTAAATAGTATGTTCACATGCATTTAACTTTAAATCATTATTACACTTTTGTAAATTTTGAATTTTTTATGTGGTTTTATATAAGACTTTTACTTCCTTTCCTGGCAGAAGTATTTTAAAAAACTGTGCATTAGTAATTATTCCAGACATGACTGTACAATAATTAGCTGTCCTTTTTAACAGGAATAAATTCATGTTTGTTGTATAATTGATATGTATAAGTATGTGTGATTGAAATTAAGACATTTTAGTGAAAACATGCCATTTAATATTTTAAATTTAAAAACTGTTTTTTTTTTGTCGAAAATTTTCATGTACTTCGTGTAGTGCTGATCATCATTATTAGTTGCATGAAAGCATGTAGTGGAATAAAGTAGTGTTCTTCCAGTATATTCCCTTTATTCTAGGTTTTCCAGTTTTAAATAGTTATGGGTTTTGAATTGTTTTCAGTGACCTAAGGCATTGTAACTTGGGCCTCTCGTGCCTTCCACACGCTGTTAGCATATGGTTAAAGATTTTAAGTTATTGCTTTTCTTATGGCCATTCTTATGATATCTCATTCTGTTGATCTTAGTGTTTTTTTCTTTTTTTTTTTTGTTAGCAATAGGCAATGTTTAGTATGCGTTGAACTGTTTCTGAAGCATATATGTAATATTAGTTTTAAAATGCCCAAAGACTGTAGAAGCATCAGCAGATGAGATTGTCTGTATTTTGATACTAATATCATTATTGCAATTTCCAAGTCAGGATAAATAAAATTATCATATCCTTCAGATCTAAACTGATGAATTTCTAAGAAGGATAAAACTAGACTCTTTTGGGCAATAGCAACAAATTTTATATACATAAACTTCTAAGCCTGTATTTCATAGTCTTCAGATCTTATGGACCCACAAATAAAATTGTGCTATCAGATATGTAATCAGAGTTATTCACGCCAATGATCATTTAAAGTAAAGGTGCTTTGCTATTTTGGTCAAAAAGTTATGGATGTTACTATGTTCTCAAAGTAAACAAAAAGGGTTTATTAGTTAAAAGTGTTTTCTTGGATCCTTGGGTCTTGGGGTATACATTTTGAAGATGATGTTAAATTTTCCATTTTCTTTCATTACCTTTTGGTTTTTAGTCAGAAGTTGTGCTAAAAGTATGAGTATTACCTGGAAAAGATATTTTTAGTGAACTGTGATATCTCTAAAAAAAGGGGTAAAAACCGTCCCAGTTAGATGTTGCTGTAGTGATTGATAAAAAGAGGAATTTCCCTCCGGATTTATCACACTTGCTTACGTAGTACATGTACTTCATGTTAATGAATAGTTCTATAGATAATATAAGTAATTATTAGAAACTAAAGTTGTGAGTTAGAAAGATATATCTCTTCAATGCAGTAAAACTATTAACTAATTCAGCTTACAAATTTATTTCTAGGAAAATATTTTGCTGATTTCGAAATCCCTGATGATTTGAGAAACCTGTGGTTGTACATGGCACGAATGTATCAGCTTGATGCTTTCACTCAGTCCTGTCCTGCAGATCAGGATATTATAAATCACTACAAACTGCAACAAGGCACAAAGATGAAAAAACATGAAGAGCTTGAGACACCAACTTACACTACTTCAATTCCTGAAGGGATACTTGATTAAAATATACTCATTGATAAATTGAAGAAACCAACTGCACATTTATTCTGTGTTAACTCAAGTTTTCAACTCCCAAGAATGCTTTTGTAATTAATGTTTTCCAGTGCCCTTATCTGTGAAATATATTAAAAATTATTTGTTATCTTCCATCTGTTTTGTAGATTAGAAAGGCAAGAATTTTAGTCTCAGAACTTCAAGGAATAGCTAGAAGGTAAAATTTATAGCACCTTTTAGCTGAAAGATTTTTCACAGATACTAATATTATCTGGTCATGAAATTGTGAGTGTTTGGATTAATTCTGATTATGTGCTGTGGCTTATATTTTGTGCATTTATTTAGCTAGCCTGTACAGAATGTGCACAAAAATAATTTGGGCTGAATTTTGTACATGGTTATTATAGCCTTTGTATTTTTACTTATTTTCATGTCACATTGTAAAGCTATGCAAATTTTTGATAATATTTCATGTGATATATTTGTATTTGTGTGCATACAAATTAATTCAGAAATAAATCATTTCTCAGTTAAATATGAAATATTTGGTCATATTTTTTGTATGAAAAGTGCTTGCATATATTTCAATATGTATTCAATTCCAATACCTTTTTCAATATTTGCTGTTATTAATTAGCATTAGTGCATTTAACTGTTGTTCTTTGTGTGCTATTTTATTTGTAGTAAATAAGTAATATAGAAGACCATTCTATTTTTGTTTGCAGAATATGACTGATAATAGAGGATAGGAAAGTACTTAAATGTGTTATTATATTCAAGTTAATTTTGCATGGTGTAATATTAAAATACATATTTTTCCAAGAATTATTCTAGTTAAGTTTTAATATTTATTGATATATTTGTCTTAATTTTCATTGCAATATTTTTTATAGTCTGAATCAGCAAAATTTCTGATTACTAGTAAAGAACAAACATACAGATAATTTACATATGCTACTAAACATAATAAAACTGGTTGTGCCGCATTGATATTAAAGGTGCTGATAATAAATAAGCAGATTTTGGCAAATGTAAAATATTCTTAGGATTTCTGAATTAATGATTTATGGGTATTAAGTGTCTGTTCTTGTTAGTTTCATTTAATAGACATTTTTTGACCCTTCTTCAGCTGATATTTAGTTTCTAATGTGAATTATTTTACTAAATTTGAGTTTTTGTATTAAAGGAGATAAAAGTTTATGCATTTGTGTAAATTATTCATTTACAAAATGCTGTGTGTATACAAGATGTATTATTGTGTAGAAATTCTTTATAGGGCCCATTATATAAGTTTAGGCTTGTGGATGTTTGTCTTTTTAATCAATCTTGAAATATAACCTACTCTGTGTTGAAGAATCATTCTGACATGTCATAAAATTGCATTCCTAAGCAAGAAAGTCCAAATTTACTTGCATTTATTAAGAGCTTAGAAATTACAAATTTTTATAAAAAAAAAACTTTGTAGTGAACTTTTCAAATATTCATAGTCAGCTTTACTTCATAGTCATTTTAGTCTGAAAATTCCAACTTGTTTTATGTAAATTTTGATGAGTGAATATAAGTATTCATTATTTTGTATATTTTTATAAACTTTATATTGGACTTGGGGTAATGCGTATAGATCTTTGAAAAAACCCTATGTGCATAAGAAATTTTACAAGTGCTTTTACAGTGCATCATGAGCAAGCAAACTTTGTGGCCATGTATCTTTTCTTCCAGCCATTCAAACTGCTCTACACGAACAGTGGGGGTTTGTTTCTATTGATATTTCTAAAATATATAACTGGATACTATTAAAAGTTCTGTCAAGTCCTTATTGTATCTAGAAATTTGACCGTTGCCAAAAGGTATTATGATTTTCTGTTACATAGGCTAGTATTAAATAGAGATGTGAAATGGCTGCAGTCTTATACCAAAACAAACTGAATTAGATTTAGGTAGGTTTTAATTGGCAATTAACATATCATCTGTTAGTGATTGTGTAAAAAATTACTAGGAGTTTGAGTATTTTTTTATGCACAAAATGAGTTAATGTGTACCTGATGGCTGTATTTAAATTTCAAGATGTCATATTTTAGAAATTAAACATGTTTTTTTAAGAGGCTTTTTATTTTCAAAAGCTAGCAGGGTATTCATCAAGTGAATACAAAGTAAAAATAGCTCTCAATATTTGAAAAAAATGATTAGTTATTAACCCTAAGATAATCGTAGATTACCATGCAATTACTTTAGCTTCTGGATATGGTGCAGCGCTTTTGGAACAGTATTGAATAATCTTATTTCCAAAGAAAAGTAATTGAGAGCAGCTGCTGGCTTCCCTTACTTTCTTAATCACCACATGCTTATTTCTCAGGACAAGTTAAACTAATGCTTGGTGTAAAATGTGTGGCATTTAAAAGAACTCTTGGAAAATAAAGTATTGTAATAATAAATTTTTGTTGTCTGCCTCTTATGATAAATAAAATCATAAGCTACAAATATTTAAAATTGGAGAATTATGCTATTTTCACTATTCAGTAATCTCATTAAACTTTTAACATAATTAATTATCTTTAGATGTAATTTCTACAGCCCTTCAAATTTTTATTTCATTTTATAGGGGAAAATAGATTAAGAATGTAAGGCTAAAGAATTGTGAAATTTAGATCTAGAAACATCCTCTCTGGAGTTTCTATATATGATCAGTGTATTTTTTTATTTTATTTGCAATGAAATAAAAGCAGCCATTATACATTTATCTATGAAATGCATTGATGAAATATTGAAATGCATTTGCTAAGATACAGATTGCCCTTCTGTATGTTTACTTTTAATTTTCTTTTCCTCCCCTACATCTATTTTATTGTAAAATAGTTTCTCTGCCCAATTCTTTTTTTTTATTATTATATCTGTACACAAACTTATGAACATCTGTACTAAACTTATAAAATTGCTAATAATTTAGCGGCAGTTTTAAGGCATATAGCCGTGCCACTGAATTATTAGAAGCATATCTTGGTAATTTTTTAGTTTCTATAAGTCGCTTGATAAATATATAAAAGATTGCATTTTAAATAACCCATTGTTGAGTAAATAGCTGTCAGTGATTCGTTTAAATTTAGAAGTAAATGTTTTCATTTTGTAATTTAAAAAGAAATTAAAGAATTAAATCTAAATTAGAGGAATATTAATGACTAAAAATGCATGTGGCAATAAGCATTTAGTCCGGGGCCATATTTTATTTATTTCAAAATGCTAATTAAGAACATTCCATTTTCAAATCCTGTTTTGCTTCGCATTAAATTTCTTATATTTGCAGGAGATTCTGATCAGTGTAGATTTATCTTGAAAAATTTGTTTAGGGAAATTATGTATGTGCATGTGCTGTTTGAATTAGTTTTCATACTTAGTGATGCATATTTTATTCTTGGAAAAAATTTACATGTTTTCTATGCCACAAGTGCCATATTTTCAAGGGAAACTTTTTTATATCAGGTAATAAAAATGTCCAGCAACATAAAATGTGCAATTTATGTAGAATTTTTGGTTTATAATTATAACTTAGTACTTCATGTAGTTGTTTATATAATCAAGGTATTTATGTGTTTTTAATTGTTAAGTGAGTGCTTTTTATGTGGAATATTGTTGGTTTATTTCTCTTTGAATGACTTAAAATTTGATGAAAAATTAATGCTGTAGCTGTAGAAAATTAATTGGCCCTTTCGTATTTTTTTTAAAGTTATGCACGTTTGAGAATCAGTTGCCATTAATTCATTCAAGGTGTCATTTACAGGTGATCACATTTATACTTCATTGCTGCTGAAAAATAATAATTAAAAGTACGGATTTGTGTGCTCTTGGACTTAATTAATTTTTCGTTTACTGCTCTGATATTTGATTAAATTATTAGCATAAGAAAACAGAAAAAGTAAGCAAGTTGTATCATTTTTGTCACATGTAGAGCTTGGTTTAAAAAGATTTTTGTAGCTGGTGAATTTTTTATAATGTTTTAAAAGTATATTTACAATGCTAAAAGCTGCATCAGATTAATTGTTCAATTATGTAAAGCATGTGAATAAATACTTTTCAGTTTGTTTAAAAAATAAAATAAGTTGAATGCTAGTGTTTAATGTTTTGAATGCATCAAGTGTACTTTCTCCAGCGTGATCTGATTAATTTTTTTATAAAATGGTTTGATGTTCGTAGAGATTAATCATATAACTTTGAAAGCATAACTGATTAAAACATTTTTGGTGTTTTATTCTAAGCAAATTTTAGAAATTATGATAAATCAAATTGCTGTGAAACTATTGTAGTAACTTAGCACCAATAGATTTAACATACTCACTGCAGATTAAACACTGGCATGTTATGTATCATATAATGCTGATCATTCACCAGCATTTGGTGAGATATAAGCATTTTGTTTTCTTGTTCATTGACATTTTCTTAGGTGTATGTAGTTTTATGGGTTTAGTATGGCTTGTTTGATTATGGACACCAGAACTATCTGCATTATGGAAGGGTTGCTTTTGTGAAGGACTTTCTAAGTGAAACTGGTTTGAATCCATTTTACACAACACCATAAAAATACTAATGTGCCTAGTAACAAACAAAGGTTAAACTACCAGTGTTTAGCTACTTTACTGCACGTCATCTGGTGGAATTAATTGTATAGGTATTGTAGTAAATGCAGTAAATTTGATCTTTTTTCTTGGCAATAGTCAAGTAATTTTTTTTCAAAATTTTCCAATAATACAAGAGACATAAATGGCAATATACCAGGTACTTTGATAATGTACCTGGTACACACTCAAGAGCCAAAATATTATGACCAGCCCTACATTTTGCAATGAACACGCCTGGATGATGTGGAAGGCACTTGATCAGGTGGAAGTGGTATTTAACTGCTGCTGGAGAGTCTGAAGAATCATTCTTTCACTTCTGTGTGTGATGGGAAACGCTGCGCATCTAAGGGACTTGGATAGAGGGCAGATTGTAATGGCTCGAAGGCTCGGAAAAAGTATTTTCGAAACTGCACGACTCGTGGGTTGTTAGCGATCTACAGTTGTTAGTACGTATGAAAAGTGGATGAATGACGGTGAAACCAGCAGTAGATGACATGGTGTTGGACGTCCACACTCTATCAAAGAAAAAGGTCGTCGGAGACTGTCTCGCATGGTGAAGCAAAACCGGAGCCAGGCAGTGGCTCAGCTGACAGTCGAATACAATGCAGGGCCAAGTAGAAAAGTATCAGAGCATACAGTTCAGCGGACACTGTTAGATATGGGTCTATGCAGCAAACATCTCACTCGTGGCCTTTGCTGACCAAGCGTCATCGCCACCTGCGCTGGGCCCGGGACATCGTGACTGGTCCATGGATCAGTGGGAGACAGTTTCCTGGTCAGATGAATCACGGTTTGTCATTCATCACGCCAATGGCCGTGTCAGGATGCGCCATCTTCCAGGAGAACAGTTGCTCCCTCAATGCACAGTAGGTCGTACACAGGCCGGTGGTGGCGGTATTATGCTCTGGGGGACGTTTTCTAGGGCGTCTCTGGGACCCGTGGTTGTGGTAGAACAGACTATGAATGCTACAGGGTATCTGAACATCATTGCGGACCAGTTGCACCTTTACATGGCCTCAGTTTTTCCAGCTGGAAATGGAATGTTCCAACAGGACAACGCCCCATGTCACAGGCTACAATTGTGTTCGAGTGGTTCCAGGAGCTTGATGCTTATTTCCAGTTAATGTCCTGGCCGCCTAACTCACCAGATCTCAATCCGATAGAACACATTTGGGATGTCATGGGACGGCAGCTCAGAGGTTTAAGACCACCAATTCGCAATATCTCGGATTTGCTACACATCTGGTACAATCTGCCTCCGGCCATCTATCAAGGACTTGTGGCGTCCATGCCAAGGCAGGTTGAAGCTGTGTTGCGTGCCAAAGGTGGCCCAACTCGTTATTGACAGGTGGTCATAATGTTTTGGCTCTTGAGTGTATATTGTCTTAATGACTTAAATGATAAGATGTAAATACAAAAATCCAATAACTGATAAACAACTTATAAAATATTTTGAAGGCAATTTATAGGACTAATTCGAATTCACTCGGGTGAAGAAGCATATGTTCAAATAATTATACGTATACGAAGAAAATAAAACAGTAATCTGTTATGCTGGGAAATGAGATTTGGGAAGACATGTTAACATCTAGGAAGTTCTTTTCTTAAATTATAGTGGCTTCTAGTGAAATTTCATACACCTACCCTGGTAGGGAATGTATTCATAGATTAGTTTTGAACCATATTCAGAAAAGCAGTTTTCATTATTTTGATACATTTAGAAATACAGTACTTTGTGTAAATTTTAATATTGAACTAATTGATTCAATTCGAAATTAAATTTGACATATTTAGAGAGTAAAATCAAAATGTAGTGCTGTGTGTAGATGAAATAAGTTTTCTTAGTAAAAAGTCTTTCTAAATGTAAATGAAGACATTTTATTATGCTAGTTGGGCACATTGTTGTTTAAAAATCCTTGAAACCTCTGAAGATTGCGAGAAGCGTTAGAGAAACACAAAAGTTGCATATGTGACCATGACTTAAAATGTATTTCTTGCATATGTTACTAAACATCAAACAAAAGTTTGGCATTATAATTTATCAGATTTTATAATAGGATATGTTGCTAGAAGCAGATGTAATGGTGCTTTACTTTCTAACCTCTTTGAAATCGATTGAAAAGGAGTTTCATTTGAGTTATCCATGTTTTTAGCTGTGCAGTTTTATCATTTGTGATAATTGTCTTGCATATCATGATAAGTAATTAAGAGGTGCAAAATAAACAGGATATTGTGGTTATTTGACTGTCAAATCTATCTGTTGAAAAATTCTTCAATCATATAGTCTCATACAATTTTACCACTGTGGAGGTTTCCCTCTTGTTGCAGAATGTTTGGATACGAATGAGAAATTTCAGTGGTGGCAAACTTTATCTTACTCTAGTAAACTTGTGACAGGTTCTGTAAAAATGGAAGGTCTAAGAGGAAAAGTATATACATACGTGTAAAAATTCTACTGTTATTATTTTTCCTCCTGTAATTTTTCATAAGTTGAGGACTTTTGGACCATGCTTATAAGAACATGTTTAGTGATAGGCCAGTGGTTTTATGAGCATTGCTAGTTTTATTTTTCAATATTGAATGCATTACAGAATTTTTTCTCATTAAGGTAACAGTTGTGTCATAGTACTGCAGATTTTGGAGAAGCTTGCCTGTAACAGGGTAGTTTGTTGATAGCTCAGCTCTAAGTAAATTGGATGATTATTTGTAGTTTACCCTCATATACCAGGTTGCTCAATAAGTTCGCGGAATGGAAATGAAGAAACCAATTTTTATTTGTAAAAATGACTTTATTTTTCAACGTAGTTTCCCTTAACTTCAATACACTTATTCCAACGGTCTTCTAATTTATGGATCCCTTGACTGTAGTGGTTTTCGGCAGTTCTGCAAAATATCCCTCCACGGCAGCTATTACCTCTTCGTTTGAAGAAAATCGTTTTCCACAGAGATATTGTTTGAGGCGTGGGAAGAGCCAGAAGTCGGAGGGAGCTAAATCTGGCGAAGAGGACTGGATGTTGCAACAATTCGTACTTCAATTCAGTTATTTTAGCAATGGTGTTTTGAGCTGTGTGCGCAGGTACGTTATCCTTTGATGGAAAATGATTTTCTTCTTCTGTAATCCGGGTCTTCTTTCACGAATTTTTCCGTCTAATTGATTCAGAAGGTTAACAATAATAATCCAAATTAATTGTTTTGCCAGTTTGAAGGTAATCTATAAACAAAATTCCTTTCGCATCCCAAAAAACTGATGCTAACACCTTCTTGGCTGATTTTTGCACACGAACTCGCTTCGACGCCGAAGAGCTGGGTTCACACCACTCCTTAGCCTACTGTTTTGATTCAGGATCATGATGGTAGACAGAAGTCTCATCCATTGTGATAAACCGACGGATAAAGTCGCTTTTATTCTTCTTAAAATGCTCCAAATGTTGCTGGCAAAGTTGCATCCGAATGTGTTTTTGCTCCATCGTTAGAGAATGCGGCACCCATTTTGCACAGAGTTTTTAAAACCCAAATTAACACTCAAAATATTACTCACTGTGCTCAATGAAATGCCTAAAGCCTCTGTTAAATCTCTTTCAGTCAATCGACGGTCTTCCAATACCATATCTTGTATTTTTCCGATGATTTCCAGTGTTGATGCAGTTTTTGGACGTCCCTCTCACGAATCATCTTCAAGGCTGGTACGACCACTTTTGAATAAACTAGCCCACTTGCAAACCATTGTTTTTGAAGGAGGAGATTCACCCTACACATTCACTATTTCGGTATGAATTTCCATTGCCTTTAAACCTTTCTGTACAAAGAATTTGATAACTGTACGTTGCTTAATTTTATCCATACCTGAAAAAAGCCACAACACGTTAGATATAAAGGGCGGTTAAACAATGAATAAGTTAACAGATCGAAATGAAACTTTTGACGTGTTCCTAAGAAAGAACAAATATGAAAATGGCGTCGAAGTTTTAGGCCTAATATTGACAAATAGATGGCACTCCGTGAACTTATTGAACAACCTTGTTTAATGTGAGGGCAAGTTGCATTTTGTTTGAAAACCGCACATGAAGACATACTTTCTAATGTAAATAGCGTTTGTTTTGTTTGAGATTAGCTAATATAATATCCTGAAAATGTAGGTTCCTTAAAAGAATACCTGGAAACTGCTGTTACTGCTATTATAGCATATGAAGAGATTTATTCAGTCAATATTTTTTTGAAAATGTTAGCTGATCTTGTTTCTTCTGCTACTGAGGAATAAAAATTTTCAAGCTTTAGATGGTTAATGTTATCTTTAGGGGGGAAAAAAAAAACCTATGAATCTCAATTAGATAGAATTGTTTTATCTTTTCTTGGAAGACGAAACTGTTAAGTTTGCTGGTTTACCAAGAAACATTTGTTTTGAAAAAGAGCTATGTGCTTGAGTTGAAAACAACAAGTTATTAAATTCATGCATTACAGTGAAACCTCCATTCACAAATGTAATTTTTCTCTCAAG